GTGTGTGTGTGTGTGTGTGTGTGTGTGTGTGTGTGTGTGTGTGTGTGTGTTTCACAGGTCCTTTATTTTATTTTTTAATTAAAACAATTTTTTTTATGTTTATTTAGTTTTTGAGAGAGAGAGCATGAGTGGCGGAGGGGCAGAGAGAGGGAGACACAGAGTTGGAAGCAGGTTCCAGGCTCTGAGCTGTTAGCACAGAGTCCAACGCGGGGCTTATTTTTTAATTTAAATCCGAGTTAGTTAACATATGGTGTAATAATGGTTTCAGGAATATAATTTAGTGATTCATCACTTACATATAACACCCAGTGCTCATCCCAACAAGTGCCCTCCTTAGTACCCATCATCCATTTAGGTTTGCCTCCCTCTCTGTTTTTATCTTATTTTTCCTTCCCTTCCCCTATGTTCATCTGTTTTGTTTCTTAAATTCCACATACGAGGGAAATCATATAGTATTTGTGTATGATAATTCCATAGTATCACATGGATATGTGTTTATGTTGCATATATTGTACTTTGTGGTTTTCCACCCTTGCTTTAAAATTCAGTAAAGATAGCACCTCCTTACTTGTCCTTGCCATTACCATAGGATTTAGTATGTGACACATTTTATCAACTCTCTTCTATTTGGGACTACCAATCCCTAGGAAGCTGGCATTTTAGCACCTGATAGAATGCCTGGCATTAGTAGGTACTTAATATATTTGTTAATTGAAGAAAAGGCTTTTAAAAATTACTACAGCTTTAGAAAACAGTGAATAAAAGGAAACTATGTTCACCTTCTATTTTTCCCGTAAAAGCTTACATCTGTTTTCTTCATTTTTCTCTTTATTTTTTTTCCTCTCCAAATTTAGTCTGTGCTGAGACCTATAACCCTGATGAGGAAGAGGAAGATACTGATCCAAGGGTAAGATACTAATGCAAAGGTATTAGGTAGAATTGTTTTATTCCCCACTCACTCTTCTCCTCCTCTATATGCCAAATCTAATCATACTGATAATTAAAATAAGTACAAATTAAAATTTCAACAAGATGCTATTTTTTTTATTTACCAGATTGAAAAATATTAAGAAGAATGAAAACTAGAGTAGTTGGGGTTGTGGTAAGAAGGGGTGCCTAGCTGTAGCTGTCAGAGCCTTAACTATAGTCCAGCCAACTGACTCAGCAGTTACCTGAAGGAGAACTCATCCTTAACAAACAACTGGATCCTTCCTGAGATCCTTCCTGAGGACGTACAAACAGGGATCATTGAGGTGTTGTAATAGTAAAAAATGGAAACAACTTAAATGACCCAAACTAGAGGATTACGAGGGGCTAAATTATGGTACTCAAATCAAGAGATTCTTCGGCCATTGGAAATGATGGTACAGGACCAAGTTTAATGGCATGGAATGTTGTTTATATGAGGTATATTTTCTAAAATAAAAAAATAACTTAAAAAAATATATTTATCTGGGGCCCTTGGTTGGTTCAGTCAGAAGAGAATGCAACTCTTGATCTCGGGGTTGTGAGTTTGAGCCCCGTGTTGGGTGTAGAGATTACTAAAAAAAGTAAATAAACTTTAAAATACATATGTATACACACACATATATATTTATTTATCTATCCATCTATCCATCTTTGTATTTATTAATACAAAGAATTATCTCTAGAAGGATATATCCCAAATGTTAACAGTGGTTATGGCAGGACTACGGTACACTTTTGGTCTTTTCTTAAAAACTCAGATTTTTAAACTTTTATATAATTACAAAATTATTTTTATAAAATCAAATATGAACCACCATTTTTCAAAGATTGATGTTATAAAATAAGCTTTAATGATCTTTCAAGTGTACCTTAAAATGAGCAGTCCATGAAAGATTTCTGCAGTATTCTAATAATAAAACGCTATTCCCATTGTATGACTATAATAGATATGTAGATTTTGAAAAAATTTATTCTGGTTATTGTAAAAATTTTTGATGACTTAAAAGTTAAAACAGTTTTTTTTACTAACTTTTTAATATCACAAATTTAAAATACTTAATACTTTTGACATTTTGTTATTTCTCGTCAGATTAAGCAGCATAGTTTTTTTTAGGGTGAAGACAGGACTTAGGTCTCTGAATTATAACAGCTATACTAGGCACTGATTATTTCTTTTTAGTTAAATAAACATTTACTGACTATCAGTAATAATGATAAAAGTTTTTGAGCACCTACTAAATGCCAGGTACTGTTTTAAATACTGCATGTATGAACTTGTTTAATCCTTCCAACAACACTGATTTAGTAGATAACACCACCACCACTACTAAATTGTTGATGTTTGAACTGCAGCATTTATAGCCATTGTTTATTTGCCGTCTCCACTTAGATTTCAGTAGGCAACTCAGACTTAAGGTGAGCTCCTGATCATTTCCCTTTAAACATTTTCCTCCACCCACAGTCTTCCCCCAGCTCAATTTATGGCAGCTCCATCCTCCCAAGAGGGCTCAGGCCCAAAACTTGAGGGTCACCCTCAGCTCCTCTTATTTTTTCATACCTTCATTCAGTTTTTCAGAAAATCCAATGGGCTCAGGCTTCAAAACGTATCCAGAATTCCACTACTTCTCAACACCTCCATGGTTACCACCTTGGTCCTAACCACTGCCATCTTGGTACTGGAATAATTGCACTAGTTTCCTGGCTTCCACTCTTCCCTCAAGGCTGTTCTGCAGTCAGTAGCCGGTATGAATCTTTAAAAACATGAGTCAGATCTCTTTCACTTCTCAGTCAGAAGCTTCAAATTGCCTCCATTTGGCTAGGGAAAAGTTCTAGTTCTGTGACTTATAATGCCCTCTGTGATTTGGGCATCACTCTCACCCAGCCCCCCAACTTGGTCTCTTCCTGATCTTTCCCCCTTGCTCTGCATCAGTCACACCCATCTCCTGGTTATTTCTCAAACATGCTCTTTACCTGCCACAAGGCCTTGTTTTCATTTACTGTTCCTCTGCTTGCAGTGCTCTTCCCACAGAGATGTCCACATGGCTCACTCCCTGAAGTTATCCTCATTTCCTTGAGATCTTTACACAGATGTTACCTTCTCAGTGAGGCCTTATCTGCCCCCTCCACACACACACTTTTTATCACCCTTCTCTACCTTGTTTTTCTCCTTAGCTCTCTTATTTTTCTCCTGTCACTCTCTAACATGTTTTACATATTTATTGGATGAGAGCTGGTGTTTTTATCTGTGTGTTGGCTGTGTCCCCAGAAGTGGAACAGTGCCTGGCACCCAGTAGATGCTTAATGTTTGTTGAATGAACAAGTCTATAGCCCTCTGCTTTACAGATGAGGACACTGAGGCTCCCGGGGGGTAACTGACTTGCTGCCAGTTACACAGTCAGTGAGTGGCTCCAGGGTGAGTGCTCTTCACCCCCATCACATTGCCCCTCCATGATCAGGGCCCCGCTTGGTATTTGTATAGAATTAAAGTTACAGTAAATGTGCTCTTAATTTTTCCCACTTAGGAGAAAGAAATGTACTGATGTGTGAATAAAGTCAGATTTTAAATTGGAATAAAAATATTTCCCTGGTTTTATTTGGATTGGCAGGTGATTCATCCTAAAACTGATCAACAGAGATGCAGACTTCAGGAAGCTTGCAAAGATATTCTCCTTTTCAAAAATCTTGATCAGGTAACATTGGTTTTTAAAAATATTTTTGTATTTTGGCTTTTCTCCTATTTGTCATTTAAACAGTTTTTCTGTGGGGGTGCTTGGGTGGCTCAATCAGTTAGGCATCTGACGCTTGATCTCAGGTTGGGTCTTGACCTCAGGGTTGTAAGTTTTGTGCTGGGTGTGGAATCTACTTAAAAAAAAAGTTTTTGTAATCTTAGCCTCAGCCATATGAGGTATAAAACTTTACATTCATCCTCCTTACAATGTTTGCATTGTGTTGACTTCCATAACTCATCATAATGAGCTTTTCAGATGACTTCTAGTATTTCTCTGAATTGCTTTGGTACTTCCTCAAAGACAGTATCCTTCAAGGACCATGCTCTTTGGCCATGTTGAAAGGAAATGTTCAGGTTTATATGACCCTGGCTGAAAGCATTTGGAGGGTCTGAATTTATGCTGCAGAGTAATTTATCCAAAGTTGCTAGTATGGAGTTGTCTTCTCTGGTAGCAATTAACCCACTGGAAGTGTGTGACTTCTTCTCAGACCTTGAATGTGGGGCACCTCTTGTGATTACTTCTCAGCAAAGAACTCAGGCGTGGGGAGTGGTGTGTGTCCTCAGGGCTCTGGCGTAGGACCTATGCTTGAACCTGTCTTCCCTCCCTTGATGGAGATAGAGAGCAGGAGCTTTATTAGTCTCAGGCGGAATAAAACAAGGCCCATGACCTCAAGGAAAGGCTGGTTGTGAGAAATACTGGTCTGTGTCACTTATTTTCCCTAGAAGATCCATCTGTATCAAGGGAAAAAGGACTTGCTTCTTTATCTACTGAACAAAATCCCTTTTAATGTTCTAAGGGAAGTTGCTGTGTCAGTCTAATATTCAGAGTTTTCTTAGTGTTGAAGAATACCATTATACCATTTTATTTTACCATTTTAATGTTGAAAAATGGTAACGAAAATTTCAGATTTAGTTATATTTTTCTGGCATTTTTGTCATGAAAATATTCAAATACAAGTTGAAAGACTTTTATGGAACACACATTTATCTACTGCTTTGATTCTAACATTAACATTTTACTATGCTTGCTGCATTGTATACCATATACCCATCTTTCAGCAAAGGGGTCAGTAAACTTTTTCTTAAAGAACTAGGTAGTAAATATGTCTGTCATAACTACTCAACTCTGTTATTATAGCAGGAAAGCAGCCATAGACAATACATAAATGAAAGGATGTGGCTCTGTTCCAATAAAACAATATTCACAAAAACAGTCACCTGGGTGATTCAGTCCATTAAGTATCCGACTTCAGCTCAGGTCATGATCTTGCAGTTTGTGAGTTTGAGCCCCATGTTGGGCTCTGTGCTGACAGTGCAGAGCCTGCTTGGAATTCTCTCTCTCTCCCTGCCTCTCTCTGCCCCTCCTCAGCTTGTGCTCTCTCTCTCAAAATAAATAAATGAATTAAAAAAAAAAAAACAACACACATTATTTACAAAAACAGGCAGCTGTTGCTGGCCCCTGCATTAACCCATCTTACTTTTTGGGGTTAATTTCATAGTAAGTTGCAGATATCATTATACCTTCCTTTAAACACTTTGGCATGAACTAGAGTTCAATATTTGTAAGTTTTTTATATACAGTTTGCATACAATGAAATCCTTAAGTTTTGGGGCCCCTGGTGGCTTGGTAGGTTGAGTGTCCAACTCTTGATTTTGACTCAGGTCGTGATCTCACAGTTCATGGGATCGAGCCCTGTGTGAGGCTCTGAGCTGACACCACAAAGCCTGCTTGGGGTTCTATCTCTCCCTCTCTTTCTGTCCTTCCCCTGATACCATGTACGAGCACATGTGCACGCTCTCTCGCTCTCAAATACAACATTTTTTAAAAAATGCATGAGTTTTGGGGCGCCTGGGTGGTTCAGTTGGTTGGGCTTCTGACTTCAGCTCAGGTCATGATCTCGTGGGTTTGAGCCCCATGTCAGGCTCTGTGCTGACAGCTTGGAGCCTGGAGCCGTCTTTGGATTCTGTGTCTCCCTCTCTCTCTGCCCCTTCCCCCTCACACTCTGTCTTTCTCTCTCTCTCTCTCTTTCTCTCTCTCTCTCTCTCAAAAATAAATAAAGATTAAAAACTTTTTTTAAAGTGCATGAATTTTGGGGTGCCTAGGTGGCTCAGTGGGTTAAGCATCTGACTTCGGCTCAGGTCATGATCTCATGGTTTGTGAGTTGGAGCCCCGTGTTGGGCTCTGTGCTGACAGCTCAGAGCCTGGAGCCTGCTTCAGATTCTGTGTCTCCCTCTCTCTCTGCCCCTCCCCTGCTCACCCACTGTGTCTCTCTCAAAAATAAATAAACATTAAAAAAAAAATTTTTTTAAAGCATGAGTTTTATGTACATTCTCTGAAGTTTGATAAATGTTGTACACTTAGGTAACCCAAACTCCCTAACAAGTTATGGAAGATGGCTACCACCCCAGAAGATTCCCTCATGCCCCCTCATGATCAATTCTTGCCCCTTCCTTTCAGAGGCAACTACTATTTTGATTTATTCTACAGTAAATTAATTTTGTCTCTCATAGGATTTCATATGAATGGAATCCTACAGTATGCACTCTTGTGTATGAGACTTCTTTCACTCAGTTTTCAAGGTTCATTCCTGTTGCCTAGATCAATAGTTCATTCCTTTTCCTTTTTCACCTTTTATTTTGAACTAGTTTTAGACTGACAAAAAAGTTGCAAAGATAGTACAGAGTTCCATATACCTTTCATCCAGATTCCCCCAGTATTAACATCTTACATCCCCATAGGACAACTATCAAAACCAGGAAATTAACATTCTTACAATACTGTTCGTTAAACTAGAAACCTTATTCAGATTTCACCAATATGGTTTTTTCTGGTTAAGGATCCAATCCAGAAAATCACATTGCATTTAGTTCTTAACTTCTTTTCAGTCTGCCATGGTTTTCAGTCCTCTCTGGTCTTTCATGATCTGGACACTTTGAAGACTACTGGTTTGTTATTTTGTAGAATGTACCTCAAATTTGGATTTCTCTGATGTTTCCTCATGACTAGAGTAGGTACACACATTCTTAGCCAGCCTGCAACAGAAATTATATTGTGTTCTTCCCTGAACATAGTATCAAGGGGTCACTGATATCAGTATGTGTTATTGCTGGTGATGTTAGTTCATTCCTTGTTTGTTGCTAAGTAGTATTCCACTATATGAAAATACTAGTTTGCTTATCCATTTTTCTGTTGATGGATACCTAGTCTCTTTTGTTGTTGTTTTGTTTTGTTTTTAAGTCTCTTTTTGTTGTTAGCTCTTATGAATAATGCTATGGATATTTTGTACAAGTCTTTTTTTGAATGTTTTCCCCCCCATTTCTCTTCAGTAAAATACCTGAGGGAAAAATTGCTGAGTCATAGGGTAGGTATGTTTGATTTTATAAAAACCTGCCATAACTTTTTCAAAGTGGTTGTACCATTGTGTATTCCTTCAGCAATATAGGAGATTCCCAATTATTCCATATTCTTACCAACACTTGTTACTGTCTGTCTTTCAAAATTATAGCCATTGTGGTAAGTACATTTGTTTCAGTTTTTTTTTTTTTTAAGTTTATTTATTTATTTCGGAAGAGTGGTAGGGGCAGAGAGAGGAGGGAGAGAACCCCAAGCTGACAGCACAGAGCCCCATGTGGGGCTCAGTCTCACAAACTGTGAGATCATGACCTGAGCTGAAATCAAGAGTTGAACACTTAAACAATTGAGCCACCCAGGCACCCTTATTTCAGTTTTTAAAAATTTATTTCCTGGGGCTCCTGGCTGGCTCAGTCAATAGAGCATGCGACTCTTGATCTCAGGGTCGTGAGTCCAAGCCCCGTATCGGATATAAAGCATTCTTTAAAAAATAAAAATAAAAATAAATAAATAAAATAAAAATTTATTTCCTGGGGCACCTGGGTGGCTCAGTCAGTTAAGCATCTGACTCTTGATTTTGGCTTGGGTCATGATCTCACAGTTTATGAGTTTGAGCCCCATGTTGGGCTCTGTGCTGACAGCAGAGTCTGCTTGGGATTCTCTGTCTCCCTCTCTCTCTGCCCCTCCCTGGCTTGTTCTTTCCCCTCCCTCCCTCCCTCTCTCTCTCCCTCCCCAAAATAAATAAACATTAAAAAAAAATTATTTTCCAAATTTCTTGTTTGAAATTTTCAAATTTACAGGAGAGTCAAAAGAATAGCTCCATGAACACTCATGTACCCTTCCCCAGTTGTTAACATTTTGCCACATTTCTTGCTTTTGTATATGTACACATACGTAAATACATATGAGCTGCTTTTTTTTGTTCAGCGCTATTTATGAATATATTTAAGACGTCTTGACTCTTAGCCACTAAATACTTTATAAGATGTATTTTCTAAGAATAAGGATATTTTCCTGCATTAGCACAGTACCACTATTACCATTGGTTCAGTATTGTTATTTAACATCCAGGCCATATTCTGATTTTCCCAGTAAAATTTTCTATAGCTTTTTTGTTTTATTTTTCAATCCTGAATCACATGTTGCTTTTGGTTGTCCTGGTGTCATTTTAGTCATCTCTAACCTAGAATTCTCCCCTTATACTTTATTGTCATGACACTGATGTTTTTGAAGAGTCCAGGCCAGAGTAAAGTTACTCAAACTGAGAGGCTGCCAGTGGACAGCCCACAGGCCAGTTACAGCTAGGTGTGTTTGGTCCATATTATACATGAAAATTTGAATTGTTACCTGTATTTAAACATGAGACTTCTGGCAACACTGGGCTCACATTCCACATGAATGTGGAATGTACAGGAATAGCACTTCCTTTTTAGTATTTGTCAGCTTTTACAGTATTCAACACACATGGGACTGTGGAACTAAAGACATGCTTTTAGTGATACTCAGTTATTTTAGGCAGCACAGTCACACTGACAGAACACTAAATGACACGGAATTCTGCAGCCGTACAATTTTTCCTTGTCAGGTCTTCAGTCTACATTCCTCCAAAGATAAAGTCTTTCTTTGAGCTGAAACTGATATTCTTTAGTGCCCACTGACAGTCACTGATCTCCCTCCCTGACAAAGGGATGCTGCCCCTAGACTGAGACCACTGTTTTGTTAGAATTTAATAGCCGTGTTTTGTTGTCATTATACTTATCAGTATAGTTACCTTCTGGTTATAGTTATTGGTGAGTAAGCAATTGTACGTGTTGTATATAAATGATTGAAGCAATAATAGCTGTCCAAGAACAGATGTCAATTTTGGAGTACCTGTTGTGCGATAAATAGTTCCTTTAGGTTTTTCTTTTTTAGTCATAAAAATCAATGAGCTAGAAACTATTAAACCCTTTTTAAAATATGGATTAACTGAGGCTTGGAGAGGTTAAGTGATGTGTGTGGCTTGTGCTGCTCAGAGGTAATTTCTGTGTCAGAGCACTTGTGCTGCTCTGTGAGGTAATTTCTAAGTCCATCTCAGCCCTTTAGATTTGATGATCCTGTTAAGATCAACACCTACAGGAAGATGGCATCACATGGCTTTACAGATGACATAGTAGAGCTATCAAGGCACCTGACAGTCATGTGGGCATGGCTGGGAGAATGGACACCAATGATTTATATACCTATTTTTGCATAAATTATGAAATGTTTTTTCAAAGCAGTACTGCTTCAGAAAACTTGGCAACTGTGCTGTGTTCATGGAGATACAAAGCTGAATGGTCACAGGAAAAACATTTGTTTCAGACAGCTTTTAGGTTTTTGCTTGAATATGGGAGCAGTCTGATATGTGTACTTCCACTGTGTAGTCACAAACTGAGATGAGCATAGTCATTTTTTTCCACTAGCAAATGTAAAAGCCATATTTTCTCTTTGTGTGTATCCCCTGCAGGAACAACTTTCTCAAGTCCTTGATGCCATGTTTGAAAGGACAGTCAAAGTTGATGAGCATGTCATTGACCAAGGAGATGATGGAGACAACTTTTATGTCATAGAACGGTAGGAGATGGAGCTTTGCAGTCGTGTGGCTACAGTTATTAAGATTCATGATTCAGGGCAAGTGCTTTACCCTATGCTTTTTTGTTCATCCCAGAGAGGAGTTAGGACCAGGTGTACAAGCTTCTCAAAGTTTGTGCCTCTTGTCCATAGCCTGCCCCCTCTATCTACTGCTGTCCTTAGTCCTCAGTACAACCCATATTTGGGTTGCCATTATCAACATTAAAAAGTCTCTTTTACAATTAAGCAAGATGTTCTCTGTAAACATGTTACTTGCCAGTGTTCAAGTGAATTGATTTCATAAAGAAGCCATTTTGCGGGGTGCCTGGGTGGCTCGGTCTGTTGAGCGGCTGACTTCGGCTCAGGTCATGATCTCGCAGTCCGTGAGTTCGAGCTCCACGTCGGGCTCTGTGCTGACAGCTCAGAGCCTGGAGCCTGTTTCAGATTCTGTGTCTCCCTCTCTCTGACCCTCCCCCGTTCATGCTCTATCTCTCTCTGTCTCAAAAATAAATGTTAAAAAAAAAAATTTTTTTTTAAAGTTAACACATATTTAAAAAAAAAAAAGCCATTTTGCTATATTGTCACTTGGATCTTTCAGTCCCAGCCTAATTTTACACATGAATACACTGCCTCACCCTTCATGTCCCTGGCCCCTTCTGGCTCTGTTCCATGTATAAGACATATTGGGAGACATGAAATATATGGATTTGATCTGCTGGCATTAGTGTGTCATAAGCTCTTGAGCTGTTAATACCATCTCAGCAGCTCCTTCTGACCCCCTCTCAGACCTGACAGGAACCACCCTCTTCAGATTATCTCCTATAGAATGCCTAGAAATGGTTATCACCAGGTAAAAAGGTCTCTTTAAGGAATTTGCTATGTGTTGTTAGTTCTCTTGCAGAAACATTGATACGTTTAAGTTTGCCTCAGTGATGTATTGAGAGCACCTGTTTGTCTAAATGTTTGTCAGTTCTGAGTATTATTCTCTAGCAGTCATTAGTAGTCAATAGATAGAAAATTGTACCTTTTGGTTTCTTTATTTTAATCAATTCTATATCTTGGTTTTCAACAAACTACAAAACGAATCCCATATAATCATTTTAATCCCTTCAGCAAAAGCATTTGACAAAATGCAACACGTTTTCATGATAAAAACTCAGCAAACTAGGAATAGATGTGGTTTTTCATCAGTCAGATTAAAGGAATTTATTTTAAAGCCTATAGCCAACATCATTGTTAATGGTGAAAGATCGACTGTGTTCCCCTTAAGATCAAGAACAAGACAGGGATATCTGCTCTTATTTCTATTCAGTATTGTACTGTAGGTTCTAGCCAATGCAATAAGACAATGAAAAAGAAGAAAAAGAGGGAGGAAAGGAGGGCATATAGATTGGAAAAGGAAAAGTAAAGCTGTCTTTGTTTGCTGATATCATGATCCTCCCTAGAAAATCCCAAGCTACAAAAAGGCTACTAGAATGCTACAAAAAAGCTACTAGAACTGATAAGTGAGTTTATCAAGGTCACAGAGTACAAAGTCAAAATGCAAAACTCTTTTGTATTTCTGTATACTAGTAAAAATCTGTTGGAAATCTCCTGTCTTAATCGTTTGTACCTTCTATTCATGTGCCACCTGCCAGGTTCTTAAGTTTATTATTAGAAGTAATAAATGAAATTATTTCTTGTTATGCTTCCAGGGGAACCTATGATATTTTAGTAACAAAAGATAATCAAACTCGCTCAGTTGGTCAGTATGACAACCGTGGCAGTTTTGGAGAACTTGCTCTGATGTACAACACCCCGAGAGCTGCTACCATCGTTGCCACTTCAGAAGGCTCCCTTTGGGGACTGGTGAGTTAGAGAAGTGATTCCTCTTGTATGGCACAGTAATGATTTCCCTTACTTCTGGTTTTCTGTCCTTGGGCTGTTGGTTCACACTATATTTTATAGCCAGTTCTCTAAAAGACATTATGAAAGGTCTTGCACCAGTGTGTTTTTCCATTTCTCCAAAGTGATTTGTCAACAAACCATTTACTCCAGATTACAGGGAAAAGACAGTCTTATGACCTTGCAGTCATGTCAGCTCTTATTACACTTTCTGTTCATGTTTTTATTAGAAAGAGAGCGAGGGGAGGGATAACTCTCTATACAAGAGGCAGCCTAGAAAAAGAATTGTCATGGAAAGCTCTGCCAACAGTGTGTTCCATCTCTAGGAGTCACTTTTCTCTATGGCCCGCCACCCACTTGTGCATTGGTCTATGCGATATCCAATAGGTTTAGGTGACTAGAAAGTCTGGCTGCCATATTCTGGGAAAGAGAACTCTCCTAGAATGTCTACGGCACAGCCCTACTATGATCCCTGTCCTGTATTGTCCATAGTCCACCTTGCTTCCTTCAGCATCATGAAGCCTTCAAAACCTATAACTCACTTCCTTCTTTTTTTTTTTGAATGTCTGTTTATTTATTTTGAGAGAGAGAGCGAGCATGCACAAGCAAGTGGGAGAGGGGCAGAGAGAGAGAATCCCAAGCAGGCTCTGCACTGTCAGTGCAGAGACCCACGCAGGGCTCAATCTCACGAACTGTGAGATCGTGATCTGAGCCGAAATCAAGAGTCAGATGCTCAACGAACTGAGCCAACCAGGCACCCCATAACTCACTACCTCCTTAAATATAATAATTACCCTCTTGTACAAATTCCAAATTTTAAATATCACTTTTAAGGTATTGACATCTGTGAAGGGGCGCCTGGGTGGCGCAGTCGGTTAAGCGTCCGACTTCAGCCAGGTCACGATCTCGCAGTCCGTGAGTTCGAGCCCCGCGTCGGGCTCTGGGCTGATGGCTCAGAGCCTGGAGCCTGTTTCTGATTCTGTGTCTCCCTCTCTCTCTGCCCCTCCCCCGTTCATGCTCTGTCTCTCTCTGTCCCAAAAAAATAAATAAACGTTAAAAAAAATTTTTTTTTTAAGGTATTGACATCTGTGATAATTTGCTTACGTTTACTTTACAAGCAGAATTAAATGTATACCATAGCATTATCAACATAGTTCTGAGACTATAGATGCTGGAGAGGATGTGGAGAAACGGGAACCCTCTTGCACTGTTGGTGGGAATGCAAATTGGTACAGCCGCTCTGGAAAGCAGTGTGGAGGTTCCTCAGAAAATTAAAAATAGACCTACCCTATGACCCAGCAATAGCACTGCTAGGAATTTATCCAAGGGATACAGGAGTACTGATGCATAGGGGCACTTGTACCCCAATGTTCATAGCAGCACTCTCAACAATAGCCAAATTATGGAAAGAGCCTAAATGTCCATCAACTGATGAATGGATAAAGAAATTGTGGTTTATATACACAATGGAATACTACGGGGCAATGAGAAAAAATGAAATGTGGCCTTTTGTAGCAACGTGGGTGGAACTGGAGAGTGTGATGCTAAGTGAAATAAGCCATACAGAGAAAGACAGATACCATATGGTTTCACTCTTATGTGGATCCTGAGAAACTTAACAGGAACCCATGGGGGAAGGGAAGGGAAAAAAAAAAAAAAAAGAGGTTAGAGTGGGAGAGAGCCAAAGCATAAGAGACTGTTGAGAACTGAGAGCAAACTGAGGGTTGATGGGGGGTGGGAGGGAGGAGAGGGTGGGTGATGGGTATTGAGGAGGGCACCTTTTGGGATGAGCACTGGGTGTTGTATGGAAACCAATTTGACAATAAATTTCATATATTAAAAAAAAAAAACATAGTTCTCAAATGAAATAACCTATTAAAGACATAATAGAGCACCTTTCTGTGATATACTGATGTAGAACTAAGGATGTTCTGAGAGGAGTGTCTGGGTGGCTTGGTCAGTTGAATGTCTGACTTTGGATCACACGGTTTGTGGGTTTAAGCCCCATGTTGGGCTCTGTGCTGACAGCCTAGAGCCTGGAGCTTGCTTTGGATTCTTCGTCTCCTTCTCTCTCTGCCCCTCCCCCTCTCGTGCTCTATCTCTCTCTGTCTCTCAAAGGTGAATACATGTTTAAAAAAAAAAAAAAAAAAGAATGTTCTGAGAGATGAAAGATACAACAGCTTCAGAAGAGATCACACACTCGGGGGCCCAGTGATTGAAAAATCCAAGGGTAAATCATAGATCAATAAGTAATGGGGGAAAATAAACTGAGTTTTAAAATGCATTGATGTCCAAGCCAAGTACTGGTCCAGGCCAAGGTGGAATAGTCCCATTCCTCAGTAGTCTTCTCTCTTAAAACTAAAAAAAGTCCAGATATCATATAACAAACAAACTTAGGAAGACCCTGGAAGATGGAAAGAAGGTAGAATGGCTAGAGATCGTGGGATTTAAGAACAAGAGAGTGAGTTTCTTGGGTTTTCTTTATTGCTTCCCATATATATCCCAGGTGGCGTTGTGGAAAAGCCTTCAACCTAGATCCACCAACAAGTACATACAAAAACAACCCCAAGAAAAGCCTGATCGCTTTAGCTAAAGGAGCAGGAAAAGAGCAGCCTAGCAGAACAGATAATACCACCCTACTCCAGCCAAATACCAAATACCGGTATTTGGAAAAACTGCTTCTCCCTCTCCACAGTGTCACTGGGGCCAGCAGCAAGCTGAACTTACAGGCTTACCCATCAGCAGAGAGGCAAAATGAGGTGATATGTGGTGTCACTAGTTGGCACTCCACTTTCCCTGCCAGGGTGTGTCAATGGGACCCAGAGGGGAGATGAACATTCACTCCCACATGTACATGCACACTGTACCTAAACCGTGCTGCAAAATAAGATTAAATCAGATACATAGCTTCACAGCATAGTACACCAAATGTCCAGGATATAATAGAAAATCACTTGTTGTACAAAGAACAAGGAAATTCTCAACCTGAATGAGAAAAGGCAATCAACAGATGCCAACACTAAGATGACAAAAATATTGGAATTAGCTGATGATAATTTTAAAGCAGTTGTCATATAACCAATTATATAAGCTATCAACAAGCAATTATGAACACACTTGAAAAAAAAAACAGAGAAAAAATTAGAAGGTGTCAGGGTGCCTGGGTGGCTCATTTGCTTAAGCATCCAACTCTTGATTTTGGCTCAGGTCATGATCTCGCAGTTCATGGGTTTGAGCCCTGCATCTACAATGACAGCTCAGAGCCTGCTTGGGATTTTCTCTCTCTCCTTCTCTCTTTCTCTTCCTCTCTCTCTCTCTCTCTCTCTCTCAGTAAATAAATAAACTTAAAAAAATAAAATGTCTCTGTGGAGAAATAGAAGATAGAAAGAGAATCCAAAAGGGAAACTTTAGAACTAGAAAATACATTAACCAAAATAAAAACTCACTGGATGGGCTCAATAACAGAATGAATATGGAGGAGGAAAGTATCCATCAACTTGAAGATAGAAAAATAGAAATCACCCAGTCTGGACAACAGAAAGAAAATAGACTTAAATGAAATGAACAGAGTGTGTGGGACAGTAACAAAAGATACAATGTTTGAATTAATACAATCCCTGAAGGAGAGGAGAAAAGAGTATGGAACTAAAAAATTATTCAACGAAATAATAATTGAAAACTTCCCAAATTTGGTGAAAGATAATAAACCTGCAAATTCAAGAAAATGAGTGAATTCCAAATTGTATAAACCCAAAGAAATCTATGCCAAGACACAACTTAATCAAACTTCAGAAAACTAGACAAAAAAATTTCTTAATCTTTATTTATTTTTGAGAAAGAGAGAGAGATTGGGAGGGGTGGAGAGGGAGGGAGATAGACCATCTGAAGTGGGCTCTGTGTTGACAGCAGAGAGCCTGATGCAGGACTTGAACTCACGAACCATGAGATCATGACCCAGATGCTCAACCAACTGAGCCACCCAGGCGCCCCTAGACAGAAAAAATTTTGAAAGAGAGAAAAAATTCATTAACTATAAGGGAACAACAATTTGAATGATACCAGATTTCCTAGCCACGAAGGCCAGAAGGGAGTGGCAGAGCATTTTTCAAGTGCTGAAAAAAGAGAACTGTCAACTCAGAATGCTGTACCTAGCGAGAATATTCTTCAGGAAGGAAGATATCCTTGGGTAGAAGGAAACTAAGACTTTGTCACCAGCAGGCCTACCTTAAAAAAATGGCTAAAGGTGGGCGCCTGGGTGGCTCAGTTGGTTAAGCATCGGACTCTTGTTTTTGGCTCATGTCATGATCTCACAGTTCATGAGTTCAAGCCCTGTGTTGGGTTCTGTGCTGACAGTGCAGAGCCTGCTTCGGATTCTCTCTCTCTCCCTCTCTCTCTGCCCCTCCCCTGCTTGTGTTTGCTTTCTCTCTCTCTCTCAAAATAAATAAATAAACTTAAAAAAAAGGGGGGGGTGCTAAAGGAAGTTATTCATAGAGAAGGGAAGTGATACAAGAAGGAAATTTGGAACATGAAGAAAGAACAACAGAAGAAGTAGACTATGGGGAGATATAAAAGACTGTCCTTCCCTTGAGTTTTCTAAATTATCTTAGATGCTTAAAGCAAAGTTTTTGTCTGATGTGGTTCTCTGTGTACGTAAAGGAAATATTTAAGACAATTATACTCAAAAGGAGGGGGGAGGGTAAAGAGATCCAAATGGAAGTAAAGCTTCTACACTTTACTCAAACTACTAAAATGTTGACATAAGTAAACCGTAATAAGTTACATATATAAGTATAATGCCTAGAGCAACTGCTAAAATACTATGTGCAAACAGATGTACTCAAAAGCTCTATAAATCATACCACCTTACACCTGTCAGAATGGCTAACATTAACAACTCAGGCAACAACAGATATTGGCGAGGATGCGGAGAAAGAGGATCTCTTTTGCATTGTTGGTGGCAATGC